TATTATCAAGTGGTGGCGTTCGATTCACACAACGATGAATAAAACTGACTATGTATGGAACAAGAAGACGTAAGACAACCGATAAGCCACCGTAGAGTCCGAGTAGAGAAGTTAATATGTAGAGAAAACTTGAACGTTGTGCAATTGTATATGTGCATACTTGTGGTTGACATTGAGCAAAATATGCTGAATAATTAAGATATGGTGACCACCGACTTACAAATGATGTTTCAAGCAATTGATCGAAAGTATTACTTTCATTTGTCATATTAAATCCAGTCAGAGCCATTGGCGTCGAATTCACCGGTATATTCAAATGCATAGCTAGAATATAGAGTGCACTCTGATTGCTTAGGAAGCTACCAGTCAGCGATGACTGAACAAGTGATTCTAACGGCCAACATCCCATAAACCAATTATCTGGAGTATATGTTGCATTGATTGTAAGTATGCTAACTAATCCGTCATCATCAATTGATTCAATATCGTAAAATCCTGCTGGTAAATGACAAGTAGTATTGACATCACATGTACAATATTTAAGATTTTTCATTCCTTTAAAGTAATTTAGTTGAGCATTGAGATACCAGTTAACGTCATCATTTGTGTAAATTAACAATGTATATGGTGTTTGAATTCCAGACATGAATGTATTTCCTATCGTGAATGATCGATAGAAAGAAATACGCTGAAAGAAATCTGTAACTACATTTGTTTGAAATCTGTCAGTCATGGCTTTTGTTTGGGCTAAGAATAATCTTTCATTTAATAAATAACCTGAAATAAATGTTTCCGTATGAAAATTTTCTATATTGTTATTGATAGTTGTCTGTGATAAATCACATAATTCACGTAAAACTTGAAATTGATTACTGGCTGTTGCACGAAAATCAACAACAAAACGCCAAAATGTTGTATTAGTAAATAGCAAATCGATCCATTTTTGAGAAATGAATTGACTGGTACAAATATCATGATATTCGACAAGAAAAGCAGCAAATGAACTGGTTAAAATCGATATTTGAGTGCATGGACATTTAATCGTAGTATCGTAGATCTCCTGAAGCTCCATATAAGTCGCAAGAGATGGATTATTTACTTTTAATTGTTGTGTTTCCATGCGTATGCCATTGTAAACAAGTACAATTGATAAGCCAAAAAAAAGAAGAAGCAGATAGATTCGCGTCGACCATCGTTGAAAACCAATTGTTACTTGATCAGTTGCTTCAGTTTCGAATAGATTTAGCTTGATAAAGTACTGCCATATTCGACAGTAGCCAACTTGTTCCTCCATTCCGTTTGTTCGAATTGAACTAGGAGATTAAAAAAAATATCACTCTTCGAAACTATACTATCTATTTAGCTGTTGGTTATATTTCCACTCAACTGAGCGATTCCGGTATGGAATTCCAGAATTATGAGGAGCTCGATCGATAGTACTGATGGATGTCGAATCTCGATTGAGAAATGGAATTCCGGGAATTGGTCTTAATCAATTCTGTAGCGGAACTGGTTCCGAAATATTCAGCATCGTGTAGGATAAGAAATGACTTCAGTTAAAAAACACAACTCTGTCGCATATAACAGCTAAACTAATTCTTATAATAAATATCAAACTCTACAAAATTTGAAGAAAGAATTGTATAAAAAGACAAAATCAGGGTAATACTTTGCTAACAATCGTATGATGTATCAAACGTCTTTTCTTTAAAAATGCAAGAAAATTATTTTTTTACAAAAGAAATACTGCATGTTGAATAAAAAAAACCTAACCAATTGAGACGTTCGCGTTTTCTAGTAAGAAAAAAAATCTTTGTTTGAAATGCAGTTGGAAAAAAAATAATTAGTTTAAACAATTTTTGCTTTACAGTTGAGAAAGAGAGCTTCTATGTAAAAGCATAGGCATTGCCTATAGTTACTCTCACTGAATTGTTTACTGAAAAATGTTTTAATATGTTTTGCTTGTTGTTATAGTGTGATAAAGTCTTTTTAGAAATACAATATTTATGTCTCTATGAAAGAAAAAAATGTTAAATATAGTCATATTGTTGATAACACTCATATAAACATCAAAATGTTATTATCAAACGACAACAACAATATGAAACGATTTGATTAATAGATGGAAAAATCATGATTGCCGGCATCAACATCAAATTAATTATTTTATTCATCGGATTTATTGCAATAATGATAAGAAAAAAAATCATCAATAGTTACTATTCTTAGTCAAATTCAATGTTTTTTTTCTAACTCTTTTTTGTATGTATTCATCAATTAATATTATGATAATAAAATTTTAAAACTGATGTGTCGCACACAGATTTTTGATGTTCGGTTTTTGATTGGATATTTCTTCTGTTCATTGATAGAATTATTAAAGATTAGTCATCTACTAAAGAACGTAAAAGATAAATTATGAATATGTCTCTACCATTACTTTCTGGCCTGGAAGCGATGAAAGAAATAATGTTGTGATAAAACTCGTTGTGGTATGTGCAGAACGCAAAAGAAAAATAATACCATGTGATGCTATTGTGCATCGTCATTCTTACAATTTGTCTTTCTGTACGCTGACATAGCACTTTTTTCTTCTTATATAAACGTTCTAAATAATAGTCAAACTCACTACATACCATTGAAAAAAACAGATTTATTTATCAGAATAATACAAATGGAACATAATGAACACGTCCTTGCACCTTACAATCAAATTCTTGGCACTGCTTCAATAAATGTGCCAGCCTATTCTAATACAGATGATGGAGTCTTTCATATTGGACGTCATTATATGCATGGAGTCTTTCTTGGAGTTAAATGGCAATGTGTTGAATATGCACGTCGATGGTTATTATTAAGAAAAAGTTGTATTTTTAAAAATATTCGTTTTGCAGCAGATATTTGGGAGTCATTAACTTCTGTTGAACGTGTAACTGATGGAAAACATTTTCCTCTAAAACCTCATCCAAATGGTTCTCCGACATTACCAAAAATTGATACATTTCTTATTTATGCTATTAGTACCGAACAACCCGTTGGTCATATTGCTGTTATTTGTGATGTTGGACCAAATTATATCCGTATAGCTGAACAGAATAATAAATTTCATTATTGGAATGGTGAATATGCTCGAGAAATTCCCATGATACAAAAAGATGGTTTATATTATCTTGAAGATGAAGATATAATTTATGGATGGATGGAAATTGAAGACGAAAATAATGAATTAAAGCCATTAGATGAATCCGTAATAAATACTATTCATCCTCAATATCGAGAACGTCTTCCAATAGGTAAACTTGAACGTTGTATTATTCCACAAAAGAATGATGGTATAAAACGTTCATGGTTAAATGAAGATGATAAAACTGAAAAATATTTTATCGAACATTTCAGTGAAGATTTTCAACGAGCAAATAATTTTTCCAATAATTTGTTATATTATAAAATGAATATAGATTTTATGTTTACGATTTCTGAAGCATCGAATGAATTACATCAAATGTTTTTAAAAGCAACAAATCATGTTATTCATAATGATGAACTTTTAAAACGTTTTGGAATACCGGAAATATTTTGGAATCGAATTCGTCATTCATGGAATAATGATCAACATTTAACGATGACTGGTCGTTTAGATCTTGGATTTGATAGAAATCAAGTTAAAGTATTGGAATATAATGCTGATACTGCGTCGACATTATTTGAATGTGTTGTTATACAGAAAAAATGGGCAGAAGCAGTTGAATTACCATCTAATTTTACGTCAGGACGACGATTACATTCGATTCTAGTTGGTAATTGGAAAAATATGAAAATTAACACTCGAATACATTTATTAATTGATGATAACAAAGATGATATGCTTACCGCTCTTTATATGCAAAATGTATTGAAAGAAGCTAATATAGAATCTAAACTTTATATTGGAACTGATCAATTATTTTGGAAAGATGGTTTTATTGTTGATAACGATGATGAAAGAGTACAATTTGTTTGGAAATTATGGAAGTGGGATAGTATTATTCATGATGATCATGTCATTGAACAATCCGATAAAGAGAAGTATCATAATGGTGAACATCCACGAATTATTGATATATTATTACATGATGATATTAAAGTTATTGAACCTTTATGGAAAGTAATTACTAGTAGTAAAGCACTTCTACCTGTTCTATGGGAGATGTATCCAAATCATCCGAATTTACTTCGTAGTGAATGGAATCTAACTGATGAACTCAAAGAAACATCATTCGTTAAAAAATTAATTTCCCATCGTCCTGGTGATGATAGTATTTATCAAGAAGTTTGGCCATCGGAAAATTCTAATGAATATCATCCTGTGATCGGTAGTTGGATTATTCGTGAGAATTTTGGTGGATTTGTTGTACGTGAAGATCAAAATTTAATTAAGAATAAAAACAGTTCAGTAGTACCTTGTTGTATTGTTTGGGAAGAAGAAAAATAAAACTATAGATTCTCCTTCGTGTTTCATTTTTCTTTTTTTTTGACGCCTGTAGTCACCATTTAAAGGAGTCTAACGAATTAAGAAAAACATTGTAGAGACACAAAGATAAGTTCCAGAACGTTTATATATGCTTTATGTGATCATCAAGATATTTATTAACGATAAAGCTCAGAAGTCTCCTTAAGACAAGTTGATTCCTTTCGCATGGACTATTTTTTGACGCGAAATCGATTCACCATGATATGACTTACTGAGCCTCTACAATGGTTTCCATATTTTCCCTTTATTCGTTGGACTCTTTCAAACAGTGACTAGACGTTGGTATTTTTCTTGTTCTGTCGCGACGAAACGTCGCACAAAATAGTATAATACATGTGCCTATATTTATATGTAAATAAGAAAAAGAAAACAGTATAAAATGGTCGACAGTGTCTAAATATTATATTCTATTTTATCTTCATATCAAAACATAGTTTTAAACATTCGTGAAAGTTTTCGAATTCAAGTATTATTGATACTCAATTGAACAATGGCATATATGCGCTCAGCTACATCCAAGGAACAAATGGATACAGAAATTGGAAGATTCGTTGAATATCTACTCGATACAGAGACAACATCAGAAGTATCATATAGTCAGACGATGTTAGAGAAACATGAATTGTATCATGCACGTTATCAATCCAATTTTGAGAAAATCGCTGATCAAAAACTACAACAATGGGAAGATTTCTATCAAAAAGAAAAAATAGATATGGCTAATCGAATTGCATTAAATAGTGGAAACAAGGTTTCAGATAATAAATCAGAAGAAGAATCATCATCGGACAGTGAAACTGACAAATCTTTCCAATCACAACCTTATCATAAAAATCAGGTTAGTTCTCGATATATATTCTGAAATTATCTAGTAATTTACACAGGCATCACAATTGAATACACTCCCCGAAGTTCATATTGATCCAGTTGGTCAATGTAAACGTCTTCTTCAATTTCTATATCATTGTCAACAAGATCATACTCATTTTACTAATCTTTATTTTCATATTCTTGATCAATGTATGAGAAGTGAATATGAACAGATTAGTGCTACTGCTTTACAACAAATTGCTCTACATCTTTTGGACGGTGTAAATGATTCAAAACAATATCAACGTTCAATCAAATATCTTCCAACAGATTTATCATCTCCTAATATTTCCGCACTACACAAGCCTATCTTAAATATAATCGAAACACTTCTCTCAACAAATAAAACGAGCGAAAATATAAAAACAAGTATGTTATCCGAGAAGCTCGATATTCTCTGTCCTTATAGAGCATGTTTTCTCGATGTACGACGTGAATTTCGTGATAGTACATGTTATTTTATTGATGGTGATTCATTACTTCTATCCATGGCTCATCACATAAATGTAGATCTCATTGCTTACTATGGAAATACTCTTCATGTTATTTTTATTATTGAACGTATTCTTCTAATACTTTTCAATCAAACACAACAATGTAACTATACTTTACTCTTTTTTGATTGTAATTATCAATTTTATCAACAAGAACAATCAATATTAAATCTTATTCGTTCTTGTCTTATTGCTCATCTCTCGAAAAATATCGATAAATATGGATCATCAAAAATACGACAATTTGCATCATGGCTTGATGAAGAATATACCAAATTTACTCATGAAGAAAAACCACATTTTATATTTTATCATGATATGTCAAGTTTTAATATTAATGAAGATCATTTACTAACAGAAAATACTTTAAAACAACTTGTTTACATCTATCGTTTATATGGTAATTATCATCAATATCATTTACAATGTCGTTTATATGTTATGAATAAATTAATATTAACAAATACATGTATTAAATGTTTTGAAATTAAATTCTTTGGAGAATGTTCTAGACAATTCTTACAGAACACAATTAGTATACTACCAGCTTTTGAAAGTACTACTCGTGTTAAAGAAAATGAATGGATTGAATTTGAAAAGAAAATATGTAAAGAAATTAATCAAAATGATATACGCCTTTTTCTCTATCTTAAAACAATCTTGGGTTTTATGGAAAAGGAAAATGTATGATAATCATGAATTTATAAAAAAATTTATTTTGCTTTATTTTGTTAGGATCAATCAGAAGAAAAAGATTTATTTAATCTTCTTAGTCCATTACTTCTTCTTCACGTCGCTCTTCTTATACGCTTATCATTAGTTGATCGGCATCTTTCAACAGATTTACCTTCTGTTGAATTCAGTCCGATCTTTTCTCAATTAATTATTCAATTTCAACAAAACCTTGCCATGTCCATTTCCTCATGTTCTTCATCGTTTTTATCTTGGTCGAAAATAATTGATGTATTCGATGGACGCCTTTTTGCCTTTACTCTCTATCAATTAAATCAATCATCAAAGATGAAATTTGATTCCAACACAATTGATATTGTTCATGATTGTTTATCGTATTTGAAACATTCAACTGATGAATATATATTTCAGAATACAATACAACAGTTAATTCAATCGAAACATATTATCTTTTCACCTGTACTCTCCCAGGAAAAAGTAATTGTAATAAAAAAACAAAAAATTACTAAAATATCAAATACATTTATTGATATTTATTTAAAACCAATACTTTCAACAATCGACGGAATGACATTCGATTTTATCAATCCTAACGAAAGTCATTTAGCTCGATATGAAGGTAAATACTTTTCCTATTTATCATTTCTTAAATTATGTTTTATCATCAACAGGAAAATATCATTGGCATGTATACAAAGAGGTATACATATTTCATCAATACTTCGTAATCTACAGTTATTGTATAGGTTGGCGATGAGATAAGTCGTGTACGAGATAATGATGAACAAGATAGAAATTCTACCAAATACCGTTTTCGAACTCGAAATCAACAAAAATTGTAAATAATATTTTTGAACTACACTTGCGAGTTTATTTTATTTCTAGTTATACTTATTTCACATTGTATGGTAATTCACTTACTAATCGTGATGTGCAAGACAATCATTTACAACATATTCTTCCTACTGTTTCAACATCTGTATTAACTAATAAAGAAATATCAAATAATACAACTGATTCTAAAAAGAAACAAACGCCTTTGAAAAAAGCTGATAAAATTCGAGAGGAAAATAAACAACAAAAAATGGGCAAACGTGTGGAAGAAGAAACAAATCAGATTATTGTTATTGAAAATTTATTACAAAAAATTCCAGCGGATAATTATTCGAAAGCTATTGATATTATTGATGAAGGTTTAGCTAAATTCGAAACATCAACTACTCGTCTTGAATTATTGAAAAAGAAATTTCGCGTACAACGAAAATATTTACAATTATTAAAAAAGGAAAATAACTTAACTGATGTAGAGAAATTAAAAATAGATTATTTTGCTACAATGACTGAAATGGCTCATCTTGAAAATATAGTTGATGTATTTAATAGAAAGAAAAAATATTTAGAAGAACTTATTGATGATTTACCATTAGATCAAGAAAAATTGTATCGATTTCAAATGGAAAAAATCAATAGTCGATTACCAAGACGTGAAGAAGGTTTACCCGATAATCGAGTACCTGATTTCATTCCAGATCAATGGCAAGTAAAATTTCTTGATGCTGTTGATAAACGTCAGTCAATTATTATTGTTGCACCAACTGCATCAGGTTAATTATAATTATTTTTTCTTCTAATCTCTTAAAATATCATCTAGGTAAAACTTATGCATCTTACTATGCTATGAATAAAGTACTGAAAGATAACCATGATTCACATGGTATTTGTGTGTATATAGCACCAACTAAAGCACTCGTCAATCAAGTTGCTGGTAAAATTATTTTTCTTTCGAAATGAATTGAAGAATACTATTTTTAGCTACAATTCATTCGAAATTTGGTCCTGTATTTGGAATATTTACACGAGATTATCGTCAGAATATGAGTACATGTCGAATATTAGTAACTGTTCCACAATGTATGGAAATTCTTCTTTTATCTCCATCTCATCAACGTTGGTGTCAACAAATAAAATATGCAATTTTTGATGAAATTCATTGTATGTCTGGTGAAATTGGAGCAGATGTTTGGGAAAAAACTATGTTACTTATTAATTGTCCAATGATTGGTTTATCAGCTACAGTTAATAATGGAGAAGAATTATCTCATTGGATTACAAATGTTGAAAAACAACGATCGAAATTATTTAAAACATCAAATCCTCGACAAGTATGTTTAATCGTTCATCATGAACGTATAGCTGATTTAAATAAATATTTATATTCAAATCAAAAATTACATTCAATTCATCCAGTAGGAGTTATGAATACAAAACAATTAATAACACGAGGTGTACCTAAAGATTTTTCATTATCACCTTGTGAAACATTACAACTTAATGATGCAATGAATCGTATACATCATAAGCAAACAAAGGAGGAATATAAATCAATACCATCATTGACAGAATATTTTTCTCCTAATTGGGTTATTGAACGAAATTTATGTAATAATTATTCCAAACTTGTTTGTAATAAATTCAATGATTTAATTGAGAAAAAAGAATCTTCGGCTATTAATTCAATTATAAATACTTTGAAACCAACTGTTTCAAATTATCCTGAACGAAAACCAATATTATCATTAATTATTGATTTTATTTTAACTCTCAAACAAAAAAATCTTCTTCCTTGCATTATTTTTTCCGATGATCGATTATTATGTGAAAAGATGGCTGGAAGTATTGTTAAATATCTTCAGAAAACTGAATATAAACTACGAAAAACAAAATATAAAATACAAATTGAAGAATTAAACAAACGTTTAAATGTCATTGAAAAAATTAAACCAAAAAAACCATCAAAATTATCTAATGAAGATAATTGTGATGAATTAAAAATGATGAAAGAAGAAACAAATCCAATATTATTATCCGGATATGAACAACAATTATTAGATGGTGTTTTAAATGAAGGTACATTAACTAATCGACAAGGATGTAATCAAGATTTAGTTGATTCATTATTAAAACGAGCAACTTATGAAAATCCTAAATTAGTTCAATATATGAAACGAGGTGTAGCTTATCATCATGCTGGATTAAATAATAAAGGTCGAGTTGCTGTTGAAGCTCTTTTTCGTAATCGATACATTCAAGTTGTTTTTTCTACATCAACACTTGGTATGTTTTTTTTCAATATGTAGATAAGAAGAATTTGGGAACCGGAACAATGAGCACGAGAAAGTTAAGCACAAATATAAAAATAAGCAAGTTAAGGGTGTGGGTGTAGATTCAATAAAATACCGACACCCACATGCCACACTGTTATTCACACCCATGCTCACCCACACACACCCACACCGTTAACTTACTTATTTTTTTATTTGTGCTTAACTTTCTCGCGCTCATCGTTCGCCAATCCGAAGAGTTTTGTATATTTTTTTTTCTCTAGCATTGGGTATTCATATGCCAACAAAAACTGTTGCATTTGTGAAAGATTCAATTTATCTTGATGCTTTACAATATCGACAATCATCAGGTCGTGCTGGTCGTCGTGGTTTTGATATTCAAGGTCATGTTGTTTTTATTGATATTCCATTATCAAAAATTCGTCATTTAATTATATCAGCAATTCCAAATATTCATGCACATTTTCTAACAAGTGTTACATTTCTTATGCGTCTTTTTCATTTATGTTCAAATGCTAAAGATACAAATGATGCTATAAATCGGTCATTAATTGTATTACAATGTCCTTTTCTTACACAATCACCTATGAAATATGAACTTATAGATATTCAAACGCATTTTCATTTTTTATTTACATTAGATTTTCTTTATCGATTAGATTTAATTAATGGACAAGGTCAATTAATTGGTTTAGCTGGTCTATTAAGTCATTTACATTATTTTGAACCAACAAATATATTACTTGTTTATTTAATGGATACTCGATTATTTCACTTAGTCAATGATCCATCTGAAATTATGACTGTATTTGCTTATCTTTTCACTAATATGCCATGGTAAATCTATATATATATATATATATATTAATATCTGATCATTTTTTATTCATTTTATAGGTTAATTACTCGTCATACATATGAAGATCTATCGGACTTTCGAAAACAAGAAAAATTCAATTCAAAACTATTTTTACCACCAATATCTAAACAGTTTCGACAGCGTATTAATGTCTATAATAGTATAGTTAAAGATGTTTATGGATGTTATATAGAAAATATTACACGATATTTACGTTCTAAAAATAATCGACAAGAAGAACTTTTACCATTTTCAAATATTTCATTTATACAAAATTTCGATTATGATAATGGAACATTTGAATATAATCTTCATCATCATTATTCACAACAAACATATAATCCATCTATCTCTCCTTTTGCTGCTGTATCTGGTCTTACTCATGAAAAATTTATGTTAAATTACAATCCAATTATTGGCTCATGGGATCTTGTCTATGATCTTGATTTATCATCAAAAATTGTTCCATTTGTTGATCTTGATTGTTGTGATCATACAAATACAGCATATTATATGAATAGTTATGCATTGGATTTTTTTAAACATGGTTCTCAAACATTGTTAAACCTAGAAAATGAATTAAACCTTGGTGATATATATAATTATCTATTAGATTTTAATCTTGTACTTTCATCAATTAAAACATCGTTGGAAGTCATTATAGAAAATGAAAGAAAACAGACGACAAGTGATGATTTAGATTTTTCTTTACCATTATATCAATCTATATCAAATTTACAAAGTATTTTTTCAAGCAAATTTAACAGACAATACCCTGGTAGAAATCGATTGTAATTGATTTTATTTTTAAAAAAAACTGAATAAACAATTGATTTAAGTATCAATACTAAATTTAATGATTCTATGTTTGCCATATATTAGATCGGTGTGAGTGATTGACGAGAATAAAATGTCAGCCTAACCCATACCCTGTTGCCATTATTGCTAATGTAGAGTATAAAAATAAATGGCACACAAGAACATTAGAGATCAAAAATAAAAGTGAAAGGAAACTAATAATGGCATCATTAGTAAAAAAAAAGGTAAAAATCATGCCGAACAAGAAGTCATGCTTATTCATTAGTGTCTAGGTATTATAATGATGTTTTTTTCTCTCGGTCGGATTGTGATGTTTTATCATTTTTTGAATAAAAAGAAGCTGTTTGTGCCTCTCAACAATATGATAAATCATTTGAATAAAAAGTTTTTATTCTAATTTTCTATTTTATTTCATTTGACAATTGTTGGTGAAACGATCATATGATCGTAAAAAATATGGATTTGATTATATCAAAAACTGAGAGACGAGAAACCGCCGTTTGGTATAGTAGATATAATATTCACACTCAAGATGGTTAGTTTACTTCATTTATCGTTAGGAGAAAATGTTCTTAAAATTAATTTATTTCTGTTTTATTTATATGAGAAGGAATATCTGGGATCATTTGTTATATTTTTACTTTATTTCCTTACTGCCATTATTTATATCCTTTTCTTTCTTGCTTTGTTTTTCTGCCACTAGCAATTATTTATATATATATTTATGTCCTACACTTATCTTTTTCTCGCTTCAAAGAATTCACAGAAAACATAAAAAACATTCATGTTATTGTCTAAATAAAAGGAGGCGTTAGCGAAGTCTATCATTTTACGCATCACATTAGACAGATCAGTCAGAAATTTTTATTCGTAGTTTATTTAGAATGAGATAGCTATAATACAAACAGAAATGTTTTCAAACAAAATCTGAAGATATAACGGTCGTAGATGCTTATCTGAAATTTGTTTATAGTGATTTAGAAGTATTTTAGTTTAATAATACGACACGTCTGAAACGAGAAGGCGTAAATAATGAGATTGTACTAACAATCGAGATGTTATCGTATATCTTACCAAAATTCTCATTATTGATACATGCTTGACAGAAAACTATGAAGTTTTTGTAGAGAAATCTTTGCTCTTTCTTTTGGTTTATTTGTAATAAATTTTGCATATTAAAATTTCTTCAAACCTTATCGTCAGGCTATTTAAAAACTGTTATATGAGTCTCACGTAAGTTCTGAAGCTGGATTATGAAAGAGTAGAAAACTACGATTCTATTTTAAAGTGTTAGAATTTCTACTACATTAGAAATGTTTGTGATCAATGGAGAAACATCATCATCCATGAAAAATTTTCTATTTTCTATTGTTATAGTACCAAAAGTAGTAATGAATAATTGTCACATGAAAGAGAATGTTATGAATCGTTTTCTAGATTATCTAACAGTCTTTTTTTTATAACAATGGTAAATATTAGTAGTAAAAATGTTACGACTAACATTAACGATTCAAATAGCCCAGTTCTAATTTCATATATCAGTGGTATAATTATTTTCGGTTATTACAGCTTACTGGTGGTTATTTTTGGGACACTACTTAATTTGTTAATGTTCATTGTATTATGTCGCCGAACTTTCCGTGATGCGCAGGCAAGTTCAACACTGCATTATATGCGTGCAATCGTGTTCTTTGATATGCTGAAAGTGTATGGCTGGAATTTAGACAACTATTTAAAAATCATTCATGGATTCACCTTGACCTATTCTTATACAATTGGATCTTGTAAATTCTTTCTTTTTTATAACTATTTTATATATCACGTCTCAGCATGGCTGCGTGCATTCGTTTGTCTTCATCGATACTTATCTATTAGTCGTATTCAACCTAATGCTTGGTTCAATCGATCAAGAAATGTGCTCATGCTCATCAGTGGTATTATTACATTTCTGGCTCTCTTTAATTTTCACTTTTTAGTATTTGTATGCTATTGTGATGCTAGTGGACGGATCATCCCAGATTCAAATCTTTATTCTGTCTTTCCGACATTCCGCCAAGTGAACTTCATCATTGTGATTTGTCTCCCTGCCTTGCAGATGATATCAGTGACCTGTAATGCAGTATACCATCTCATACGACTACAACACACAACCAAGGTACAAAATTCACATGTTCAACATCGAGCTATATCTGCTACGCTTATACTCCTAACCTCTCTGTTCATCGTGGCAAACACACCATCTGAAGTTTCCTATGCTTTTTTCTATGAACGCCTTGTTGCAGGTGTTTGGGGTCGTCGCATATTAAATACGTTTGACGTATTCTTGTATACATATCCTGTGTTAACCTTTCCCACCTACTTGGTGAGATATAAAGAATTTCGTCGCGAAGTATTTGGTTTACTAGTAAGAAAGAGAAGAGTTCACCCAACAAATGAAGGAAATAGGCAACCTCATGTCGTATAAATGGAATTACAGCGCTTGTCCAATAGTCATCATTCACAATAACAAGATTTATATTTTTAAAGCATTCAAATTTATGTTGTTTGTTTGTATAACACATCCTTTAATAAAATCCTACAAAAAGAAATCTTTCACCATATATCTCTAAGGTAGTTATCTATTTGCGGTATCTCATTGAGTAACTCTTATGAAATATTTAAACATGAAAATAATCTATATTTGTCAATTCAACATTTGTGTAAAAGTGATGCTAACAGAAAATTTTATGAAATGAATATCATTCATCTACTCTCAATTTTTATCAATAATAATGAAATCTTTCATACAAATAACATACTTCTAATATACGTTGAGGGTGTAGGTAAGAGAAGAACACAACACCTACACCCTTTTTAGGAGACTGAAGTTGTTAGACATATTTAGTTTATTGAAAAAAATTAGTAACTACATAAACATGCGCTAAACATTATTCTATTCAAGCAAGCTAAACCACAATACTTAAGAGAAAATATGTAGGGGAGGAGGGTTACAATATAGAGAAGACTGCACGAAAATAAATGATGAAATAAATAGAATTGTTAAATAGGATAATTAATTTTGCTGGGATATATTATTCAAAATATGTTCTGTATTGTATTAGATCATGCCACTCTATTCATTGGTATATCTCTTCTTGTAAGTGTAACAGTACCTGTTTGATGTGATCGTCTCCGTACTATGCCTAACAATTTTACTTTCATTGTCTTACGTAAATCTGGAAATTGACTTAAAGATATGAATGGAAAGAGGCAAATAGTGAAGTAATAAAGAAAATAGAAATAAAGTACAGCTTCTGCTCCGTAATCAGACGGCAAACCACATAAATGTGCAATAAGTAATATATTGCTTGGAAAATTAATACCAACATTTAAGCCTGAAACCAAAAGTAATTGTATAATCATTCGCCGTTGTTTACGCCATTGGTTAGATTGATGAAGTCGTCGTCTTTGCATTTGAACACGTAAAATAAGAGTAATACTAGCAATACCTTCTAAGAGAACTGGTGTAATTGAATGTACAGTATATTCCCACATACCAAGAATACCATAAGATTGATAGCATGGCGAGCCACCACATACGGGAACTGTATAAAGATAGGTATTTTCACAGGGTAAAAGAAAAATAACAATCAAATAGAAGAGAAGGATATATGTGACTATAGTAACTAAAGGAAGATAATGAAAAAGGAAACGTCCTCTTCGATTTAAAAGTAATCGATCATGAAATATGAAAATATGTCGTTCGATCGCTAACCAAGCCATCAGAACAATCCCACCAACATAGAAGCCGTAATCAGCAAGCCACCAAAGAAGACATATAATTGGTTGTGATGGTTGAACAGAGCCATACGAGAAGAATATAAGATAAAAATTAATATCTATTAGTTGAACTGGCAAATTAAAGATTAACAGGAGAAGAATTGTATGATTATGTAATGCATGTCGATGGGTTCGATTCATTATAATATGAAGTATAAGGAAGAAACTACAAACTACTGATGGAATATTGAATAAAAGCATCAACCAAAAACGAACTGGACGTGGAATAGATATTTCCGAAATACTGAAAGAGTCACCGTCATTGTTTGAACTATTTCCAAAAGACATTATTCAATATATTAAAAAATTTTCATTGTAAATAAAATGAATAAAATAAGAGTTTTACAATGAATGATGTCGAATAATACTTTTCAACTATTTTCTACAGAAATAGACTTGTGTTAGTTTCAATCAGCTTTCTCAGACGATAATAAATTGCTTGATTCTTGTTTGTGAATAGTTATGTGTCTAATAAGATGATTAAGAAAAAAACAACGTTTATATTTATCTCACTCTGAATGAATGATAGACAAAGATTACTAATTGATGAGATGTGAAGCAAGATAATTATGTAGCTCTCTAGGAGTTTTCTTCCTTTTATTATTTTTTTTTTCTATTTTTACTGCGATGCGAAGTAAAAGTACTTCAAAACTCCTTCGTGATTTTTCTTCTTTTTTTTTCTTTCTTACTTTCTCGACTTATGAATTCAAAGTTGTCACTTTGGGTCGTGATTATCTCAGCAATGGAACATTAGAAAATACTCGTTTAAATGAAAGATAAATATAGGAAGATCAAACTAATATCATTCATTTCTATCATAATCGTGAATGCTAAAAAATTTGTGTAAACCTTAAAATCGCGACTGCGATACTGAGCTTCGCATCGTATTTTGTAGTCAAGCAGAACACGAGTACCATCTAGTTAATCTTAGATATGTCAATCTATCAAATATAAAACAACATAGAAATATGTCGTAAAATGTATGTGATGTCTAATCTTCGAAATATCAACATTCTATTTTCATCTTCTGGATTATTAAAATGCATGTGTTTTCAGTCTGTTCAAATCATTCTAAGAGCATGCCACTTCTATCACTACAAGCAAGGAATATAGAGAATTATTTTGTATTCGAGGTAGAAGCTTATTTTATTATGAACGTGTTCGTCGTTTATAGTAATGTCACATATTCTGGAAATCAGAGATGTGAGACATGCTAAAGTACTTTTTCACAGCCCATCTTGATAGTATGAGGGGGGGGGGAGTGGATGAAGATCTTATCTTGAATCTTCATTGCATCTTCTCTTCGCAAACTCACACTCATAAATACAAAATTCTCAAGATCATTATCATCTGGAATTCTTCATTAAAATAGAACTAAAATTCTAAGTAAAACAAAAACAAAATCATTTAATAGGTTTAGTTATGCTCTCGTAGTTGAAGATAAAGCCCATCATTATTCCAAGTTTACACGAAATTATCAAAATCTTAAGGGTGGGTGTGAATGTGAAATAAGAGAAGATAGATATACTCATACCCACACCCTAGTAGAGGAAGCTCATGTGCTGGTGATGGTTATAAACGATCAGGTGTCATTATTGGTAGTGTGTTTGAGGATGTATTTGATCTGCATGCCATTGTATTTGGCGGTATGTATTGTTACCGTCAATGGAAAGGACAACCTTTACGATCAAATCTAGCATTTGTCACTCAATCAACGTCTGATGACAGGAATGAAACATATTCACAAGGTTACTTTGAGAGAGGTATATGGTTTAGTCGTTACTGTCAGTATAATAATTGGCATGGACTTCATCAATTATATCTTTCATTCAATCATACTATGTCTAGAGTGGATGGAGAAGGAAACGATGATATTGGTGCATTTACTATTAATGGTATATTTTGTCGGCAAACTCAAAAGTTAACTCTAACAAAGATATATAGACAAGGTACGGGTAATATGGCAGAGAATTTTGGACATAACGTTACTACAAAAAGTGATTTGGAATTCTAATCTCAATGTTTCTGAAGGTAAATGGTTTATTCATACGAAAAAATATCGTGGAGAAGACAAATTTGAACTTAAATATCGTCAAACTACAGAATCATCCTGTGAAATGACAAAATATTGAACATCATTTATATTTATTGATTTAATACGAATAAATATATGAAATAAATTTTCAAACCCATACTGGGTGTATTGCAGCTTTTTTTCAAAAGTACGGTGAGATATTTCATCATTTCACGACACATGTTTTTAAGGAAAAAAAATCAATGTTATAGAATTTATTTATGTTGATTTATTTGTAAAATACTCCAGGATGTAACTATAAATGAAAATAAAATTTAAATTCAAAACAGATACAAACAAAAAAAAGAAACGAATACAAAAATAATCTTTTTGACACTACTTAAAAAGGCTGAGCTAGCAGCGCTGTGTGTTGTTGTCGGTTCTGCTGTTGTTGATGTTGTTGGTGTTGTTGATGTTGTCGATGCTGTTGATGTTGACGATGTTGTTGATGTTGTTGATGTTGTCGATGTTGTTGACATAGTGGAGGCTGTTGATATAGTAGAAGCTGGTGTGGTGGTGCTACCGGTAGTGATAGTAGTAGTTGTTATTGGGATTGTGACATTGAATGGTAAAACGTAATTTTGTGCAATTATCTGAGCCGAACTTTGAACTGAATCTTGTAATGCGCATGCAGGTTTGTTGTAGGTATACAGCATAATGTCACCCACCTTAGCTTGATCTAATGCTTGAATCCAACTAAGAGCTGGCTGTGCTGTCGAATTTGTACATGTACTCACGAATACGGGATGTGGGGTATCTGACCAATATTGAAAAACTGTCTGGCAGAATCCTTGACCGGAACATGGTTGATTAGGTGGACAAGTCTCACCAGGTCGTAGATCAGTTGAATTAAAGAGCTCATCAGCTAAAGTACTTCTTAAAAGTTTTACTTGAGCCTGAACTTTAGTCCAGTCACTATTTAAAACATTTTTAGCAAATAATAAATCACATTCATCTGATGTAGAACAATCAAGCGAGATTGTTAGATTGGCTGATTCCGCATAGAGTAAAAAGATAGTTACTGCATCGAAATTAGCAGGTTTTGGTGGTGTTGCAGGATTAAATTGTCCAGTAATCGCACCAGTGATATAATCAATAGTTAATACAACTTGGCAACTTTGTTCACTAGCAGGTCTATCGGTAGTATTACAAGATGGTAATACTATATGTCCGAGATTGCTGGAGTAATCACAAGCACTGGCACACACCAGACCATCGACAAGTTGAGTTGATATTGAAGACAATAAGATGAAGACGATGAAATGTAACATTGAAGATAAATGTGAAAATGATCTTCTGGCCGTTTTCTTTCTATTTTATTGTATGCGATATCTTATCTATTTATGCAAATAGATATATACCTAGGCGAGTAAAAAACAAATTTCGCTAGTATAGAAGAGATACAACATTTACATTTTGTTGTTGTTATCATCATAATAATTGTTATTGTCACTAAGACTTCGTTATATAATTTCTGTTTCTAATAACAATAATTTGATGGAAATTATATTTCAAAAGGAGAGTATAAGAAATATGACAATTTTTACTTGCTGATTTAAACTAAAAAATAGATTGCAATGAAATTTTAAATTCTCTTGAAGGTAGATGCATGTGTCAATGCAAAAGATAAAAAGAATAATTTCATTTTCATTCATCATAAGATACTTATCAGTTGATATATTATGTTTTATAAAACACAAACAATAAAATAGATTTTAGTTTAGTAAGGAAAATATCATTAACTACGAGAAGTCAATGATTGATAGGCTGGCAAATGATACATATTTGCCCAAACATGTGAAAGACAAACAGATGCATGAAAACGAAAAAAATTTTGAAGTGGTGTTGTAATTGCAGCAATAATAGACCATGGAATAACATGATAAAAAGCCAATTGAAATGGATTAGCTTCATGTTTAGTTGTTGTGGTTGTTTTTTCAAACCAAAGACTTAAATCAAGTGTAATCAGTAGAGTAATCATTTCACGTGCTGGATAATTATATTTATTCGTTCGTCTCAATCGTTTACGTAATGCAAGAAGAATGAATAGTGCATGTAGTGGCGGCGCCAGGGGGGGGGGCTGGCGGGGGCTCAGCCCCCTCAGAAATCATTCGAGCCCCCTCAGATTTTTTAAAATTCTCGTAAAAAAACGATGATTCTCTAACAAAAACATAAATCTGGGGGGCTGAGCCCCCTCAGAATTTTTTTGAGGGGGTCTCAGCCCCCCTAAAGTAAAAATTCTGGCGCCGCCTCTAAGTGCATGAACAGTACCTTCGATAAATTCTAAATAAGATAATATCATTCTAATTAAAAAGTATAAACTAAATGAGAACTTCGCATAGGATTTTAACTCTGACAATTTATTTTACCTAAAATAATAACTATTGATGAACCCAAATAACCAAAAATGGCGAAAGCACTAAATATTGAATATAAATTGATACCTGTTAATGAAATAATAATGAGAACATCATCAAAATCTATTCAATAGAAAAATATGTATATATATTAGATTATCATTTTTCTCTTATATGTCTTACGTGTTGTTGTTCGTCGATAGTTTAATTTACGAATTTTAATTAATGACCATATTGTTGCACATAATGAAAGCGCTAACAAACATAAATTAACGATTTCAAGTATAACAATACTATAATCTATTCTTGCTGAACTCTTAAATATGGTTGGATCATGACCAATAGTATTTGTTGTCGACGATAATGAATATTTTTCTATAGTTGCTGTATCAGAGAGCATAAAATGTGTATCACCGATTTTATTTCGAAAAACCACATAAAGAATAATCGAAATCATTGTACATGAAAAAACGAACATACCACCAAAACGACCTTTGTTAGATGCATGACAATTAATCATAAAGACATTTTTCGTTGATGACTTATCTGATATTTTACGCGTAAATGTTTTGCCAATATTTTCCCAAATAAGATAAAACAACTATATGGAATATAAAGAAAGAAGTTAAAAAACAAGAAAAAGAAATTTACTGTAAGACACATGAGACTAAATTCAATCGTACATGGATATAGGAGTGGTTTGAGTTTCATGTATCCTTCATTAATGATTGTCGTAACTGGTAATCCATGGGTAGATAAATTGGAACATTTCGAAGGATAAAATAATAGATCATGAAGAAAATTAATCGTGTTGTCACTGTCTTTGTTTTTTATTTAAAAAAAAGTAGGTTATAAAAAATATGATGAACAATGCTTACTATTATTAAAATGACTAGTAATATTATTTTGTTGGGCTACAACTATTTCATGACCACCCATTTCTTCAATTTGTGATTTTGTTTCAATTATAACCATGCGAAACCTACTAAAATATATAATAATATATTATTATCTCTAAGAAATTAAACTATTTACATTTTTTTTTCATAATGATTAACAATAAACCTATATGAGAACTAACTTCCTTTAATCGACTCAAAAATATTGTTAATCAATATATTGTAATTGTTGTCTTCTGTATATTATGAACATGAAACATTCTGAAGAATGCATCTTATCTAACTTAAAATTATTCATTAAAATTATCAACTGCTTCACGTCAATATAATACCAGTTATTGATTCACTGGGGATCAAGGAAAAATGGTTATAAAGATTTGAGGGTAGAGAGGTGAGTGTGAGTGTGCCTGATGAAATCAATCTTATATCCAGATCCATATCCACACTCACACCTGCTCTACACTGCATTGTCCGCTGTCTATCAATAAAATGAAGGCAACGCTAGAGTTCCTTTAGTTTAATAGTTTTTACAATGATAATATTCTTTATATTGAATTAGTTAGATTACAATTTGAATTTCATTTAACATTATGATGTTTTCTAAATCGACAAAATTCTAGAATATTCAGCAATTAATATTAATTAGACAAAATAATTGCTTCACTTGTTAACTTTATTTTATTGTGATTTCACATCGTATTCTTCTTACAGAAAAATATATTATTAAGCCATTAACGTCTCAACAAGATCGTAAAAAAGATCAAAACTCATCATTCCATCTGGATTCTTCAGTTTATACATCGCATACCATTCCTTATCGGCTTCTGGATGAGGTCCAACCATACCTATACGTCCCTTACCCAAATCTTGTACAGCCGCTGCAATCTTACCATTCGTATAAGTCGCCAAAATTTCTGTAGGTGCTGCTGTACGATCAAGATCGAAACGAGTGCCATCTTGAAAGTAAACGTGTCTCAATTTACCTCGCCAGAGAAGAGGAACAACAGTATCGATTTCACTAGTAACAACAGCACCTTTCGATGTGATATACTGATCAGTTTGCCCTTTGCCTGGTAGAAGATCGAAGCCTGGTTCTGTCCCAGCTAAATAACCACCGAGACAAATACCAAGATATCTTCCTCCATTCTTGATGTATTTACGAATAGGTGATGCATATTGACGAACATGTGGCCAGATTTCATCGAGATCACCACCACCTGGTTGGACATAGAGTTTTGCAGTAGATAATGTATCTGCATTGACGTCTACTTTTTCACGAGGACCAGCATAGACAATTTTATATTTGTCTTTAAGAAGTGTAGCAATACTTTCTGAACAACCTTTACAAGCTGCAGGTCCTCGATAGATTAAGGCAATAGGTCGAGCACATGTAATTTGTTGGTACAAAGTCAATGTGAGAAAAAAACTAAGAAGAATCCGTGTATTCATACCAACTATAATAGAAGAAAAAATAAAATGTTTCTTACTAGCTACTGACTATTTCATCGTTCTACTCTAAAAACAAAGGATAAAAGGATCAAGAGCTTACTTTATAACAATAACAAAAGTGAATAGTTTCTTTCTTTATTTGCTAATGATATAGATGACGAAGTGTTGCTGCTGCTGTTGTCGTTGTGGCAGTGGTAGATATTTAAGAAGAACAATAAACTGGTCAAGTTAAGTGAGCTTGACGCTGCGTAAAGTTCAAATTAGCCTAAACGTCGTTCCATGGTTTTTGCAGTTCACATTGTATTCAACAACACTTCTAATTGTTTTTGAAATACTGCTGAAGTTCTTTTCATATAATCCAAAAACACTAAAAACGCACAAAAAGTCTAAAACATCTAAAGCCTTCCAATAACTCAAAGTTTCAAAAAAATTGGTCATAAAAAGCGACGCCGAATCGTCGTGAGTTCAGAAATTTGAGCTCAGCTCACTCACGCCACTCTACACTTCACCACTAAACGTAGTCCATCACAATCTTATATCAAAATTCATTATGTAAGTGCCTAGGATTTCTATAATTATTGATAATGACTTCCATTAATTAATAATACGCTTCTATTTACTTGCGGTACTTAATGAAACACCTTTAATTATTTCTAGAGGTGGGTGAAGCACGTCTAAATATTTGAGGTGTGGGCGTGAGTTTCTTTCTCATCCACCCATCCTTTACTAACACTTTATCTTAGACCATATTCGAAGCTTTTGACATTTTTCCTTTCAACAATAGTCAGTACATTCGAATAGATATGCAATTGCACGATCCTACAAATTCTTAGGAGTTGTTCGTGATTGTAACATTTTAAATGAATATCTTTTTTTAAATACTCATTGTTCGGGGCGATTTCAGTCATAGTCGAGTCTGGTTGTACTATTAAACTTGCTGAACAAAATGAAACATTTGAACGACATCTAATTCCATTTTCTTAAAAAAATAATTGAGCAGCGATAAACATCGCGCTTATAGTTATGAATATCTGTCTGTCTGTTTTGTTCAAAGAAGTTGGAATACAGGATTAGAAAATACGAAATCTTAAATAACTTAATATGGTCAGATATCTGTAATAAATTTGGTTAGACTTAATCAAGGATAATGAACTCTAATGTAAGGTCTATTCTTGAAAATGGTGCAACGTCTATAGAGTAAATGTTTAGCGAACTGTTTTTAGGGTGTACACTTTGGAAAGACGATCAAATTTTTTCATAGCATCAGTTTTTCTGATTATTCAGAAAATTTAGGTTGCTTCGTCTAGATTACTTTTAAAGTGTAAGAACTCTCGAGTATGCTGTATCACAATCGTTAAACTCTTTGAACTAGGTTAGTCTTTAGAAAAAATGAGATATACGACTATGACTGATCGTTTCTTCCTCAAATTGAAAATGGATCGTGTTCAATTAAGATTTCATGATAAGTAGATTCTCTCTAGATTCTTTTTGTCAATACAAAATCAATATTAAAACTATTTTTAATGATAATTATAGGAAATTTTCTTTCAAAAAAGGGCGCGTGAATCAATCGCATGAGCGCTACTTGTTTTGTTAGACCGGTTGTCATATCTAACAAAAATTGAATGGAAATAAATGACACTTATAGTAAATTGGATTCGTTGAAGAGAAGAATTATAATACAGAAGATATTATTAAATGATATAAATGAGTTTTAATGACAATATGGCGTTAAAGAAGCTATGCGAATCTGAATGAACACTTTTTTTACAATTTTTTGAAAAGATTTAGAGCGAAACCTTATCTACAACACCTTAGTTTCAGTTTAACGAAAAGATTTGATACGAAATCTCTGTTTTTACAAAATCGCAAATAGATTCTCACGTGTACTGAACGAAGAGCGTGGATGTAAATATCTTTTTTGAGAATCACGATGTAGGAAAAATCAAGTCATGTTGTTATAATAAAGGATTCAAGAGCCATTGTTGGTAGAAATTTTATCAATATAATAAGAAAGAAAAGTGTGAATGCTAATATATTTTTGCTTACTTACTGGTTCTTTCAATCAATATGAGTACTTTTTTTCTCTATATTTTACATAAAACGAAATAATCACTCTCTTAAAGAGAATAGTAAGAAAAAAAATCAATCTCAAAAAAGATTAAGAAACTGTATCAATAATTGCTTTTTCTCTTTTAACAATAATATCAATTTCATTCATTTAACTATTTCATATATATCAAACTAGGTATCTCTTTAAATCTCAGGATTAAGTTACCACGACCACGTTTTCATTGTTGTATAAAAGGATGCTCTTCGTTTATAAAATTACTTATTTCGAAACAACTAAACATATATTATTATAATATAGACAAGTGAACTTATAAATGGATCGGTTTATTATCGTGTCTTTGATGTTTTTAATTCTTGGTTCGACACTATGCGAGGTAAAGTTTTTGTCTTAATCGAATATCTTAACATCTGAAATATTTTACTTTTTATATGATTAGGGTGGTCAAGCTATTTGTCGCCAAAGGACTGCTGCTCACACGTGTGCATCAATGGATTGTGAGCCATATATGTATGTCAAAATTGATAAATACTATCCATGTGACTGCTTTAAAATGGAAATACTTCCACATGAAACAATAAAATGGTATCATATTGAAACATCTAAGGGAGAGTATGGCTATGTACGCGATGAACACTGTTGGGCCGAAGTTCCAAAGTGCAAAAAATAATGTCTACAATCTTGCCATCATTAACATCTGTTGCCAAGTCCTTTTTAATAATAGTCTTATCCTATTTGTTAATCAAGATATTTTGTGCATGGTATTCGTTTTCTTTCAAATAAAAAAAGCTATTTGATCATGCCCATATGAGTTACACATGTTTTTAATTATTATATTATAGTAACGAGAGTACCCGGCGTTGGTCGGGAAACTTTGATAGTGCATATTTGGCAGATGAGAAACTGGATGTGGGTGTTGGTGTGGGTGCGGATGTGGGTGTTGGTGTGGGTGCGGATGTGGGTGTTGGTTAAGAGAAGATAGACACCTACACCCACACCCAGCTACCCACATCCATCCCAAACTCGACACCCGGCCACCCACATTCATCCCACATCCTGCTTATTTAATTCAATCTTGTCATTCCGACATCCTTGACGAAAATTTTGAATACTTTTTTGTTGGAAGTTCGTAACAGACATTTGCTACGGGAGTTCGGAATGACGAGGTGGTGCAAAACGTCATTTTCCCTAGCGAACAGACAAACAAGCAGACATTCTTCTTTATATATATAGATAGATAAAACGAACAAAACGAGAATATCATTTAATACAGATATAAAGAACAATTCATATAGAAATTCTGGTATTTTTTTTCAAAATCCAACGTCAAGTCTATTCAACATTGAATAAAATAGAATGCTATAGCAGCATGAAGCCAATTAAGTAGTTACACGTAGTTGCGCTGAATTTATTCAAATATGTGATTTTATTATTTATTTTAGTAATACTAATATATAATTCCAACATAATAGAATAAAAATGAGTCTCAAATGACTTTTTTATAATTGCGACAAAGCACGTCACATCGATAAAAAAAACTGGAAAAAGTCATACATCTAATACTAAACGCTATCAATGCAGCTAGACAATTGTCAATATTTATTAGAAGAGCTCTACGTTAAATCTCTCATTTAACTATTTTATTATTATCATTATCATATAAGCCCATATTTGAATAATGTCAAAGTTTTTATATATAATGTTTTTTCTATGGACATTTAATGGCTTAGAATCCATTTTTTATGATACCGATCAATTTGGATTTGATTGTTTGCATTATTTTTCAACGGAGTTTTTCTTTTCTGAAATAGTCAAATATTGTATTCGTCCAAAAAATGATATGAATTCAATAATGGTTGAATTTTTAAACATACCTGATGATTATTTGACTTTCGATGAATTATACCGTTTGAATGTAACATCACATGAAATTCTCATGTGGTCATCATCAATTGATCTTGCTGAACAATATCAGTATTATCTTGATCAACCAACTCAGTCTAACCTATTAGATGAAAAATTCTTTAATTGTACACAGCCATGGTTTGGATCACGATGTCAATATGCATTGAAATTTAATGAAGATAAATTAGTGCAAAATCCTTTTGAAACAGCTTTAACTAATGATATCTTTGTTGGAACGTGTTATATTCTTTTAGAATGTGATCGTGGTGGATCATCGATGTGCCTTGATTGGCGTGAGATATGCGATGGTCGAATTGATTGCCTTAATGGTGGTGTTGATGAAATTCAATGTTTTAATTTAGAAATTAATGAATGCAATGAAAATGAATATCGATGCCATAATGGATTGTGTATTCCGAAAATTTTTTTGGAAATGAAGTTTGATGAAGCGCAATGTCTTGATAGATCAGATTATTTAGTTAAGAACTCTTTGTGTCTAAAATTTTATTTCCGTTTGAATGTGTTTGAATGTCAAGAATTTATATGTCGGCCTAATGAAGGTAAATTTTCGTGTGGTGATGGACAATGTGTAGAAGATTTTGGTCAATGCAAAACTAACCGACCTCTCTCATTAACTCAATCAATTAGTGTTAGAGGAAATTTATCCTACAACTGTTGGATAAGTATTGTTTGTCTTACCAAAATTATTGATAAAATCGAGAATATACTATGTGACGAATTCATTCAATCTTCTGAGATTATCGAACAATTAAAAAGCTGCAAGTTTCCTCTTCAATTTCCGATTATTCCTGTACTCTATGGTCATGTAACATTTTTATATCATCTAAAAGAGATTGACAATATTAATGTTACATTACCTCTTAAACCTGATTATATTTGCTATGATGAACAATTATGCGATTTTCTCACACCCACATTTCGTCATGAAAACTTGACTTGTCGTTCTGGTGATCAAATGAACCTTACAATGAATGCTGCATTGACTAGTTGGAAATCAATAATCGATTCAATTAAATCATACTTTGATGGTTGTATAACTCAACACTATCATATCATCGATTCTCATTATTCATCATTATATCATTGTAGGGATTCATCGAAATATATTTCTAAATATCGAATTCTTGACGGTATATCAGATTGCTTTTTGAAAGATGATGAACAAGCATTATCTGAATTAAGTTGTTTATTGAATCAAACCTCTCAATTTCAATGTCCAAACGAGGAACAATGTCGATCACGCTTTTTTCCAACAAGTATCTGTTCTTTTCCAATACAGATAAATTATGATGTTATTCCATTTTACAAAATATGTGATCGAATCATGGATTTGCCTATGATGGTAATCGATGGACGAAATCATTCGGATGAGACTGATTGTGAATATTGGCAATGCAATAATATTTATACAAGATGTGATGGTTTTCGAAATTGTCTTCATGGAAAAGATGAAGAAAATTGTACGAATCCAATTATTTTAGAACATTTTCTTTTCTGTGGTTCATCACAAAATTATACATTCATGTGTTTACCAGCCGATCAGGTCACTAATGGAATCGTCAATTGTTTTGGAGCATCATTCGATCAATTTCAAAATCTCCAAGTGAACAATATTACTTTTCAGACATATAGATTTCGTTGTTGGAATGACACAAAATGTAAAGAACAGGAAAATCTTTGCAATGAAAACGAAGATTGTCCAATGTATGATAACGAACTATTTTGTGATAATCATCCACAATTATGTAATGACTCTGATTTTAACAATCTTATCGATATGCAGTATATTTCATGTCAGGTCATTAATACACGTGATATATCTTTTTCATTAGACACTACATTAATCTATCCGCCAATATATACGACTCCGAATAATCCTACTGAGAATCCAGCTAATGATGAAGTGATAAAATCGCCATTAGTCAAGAGTTTTTCACAGTCTGAAATCTGTAATTCTGGTTTAAACGTTTACTATCGAGTTAGAATCAATAATTACAGTAGTATATGTTTTTGTCCACCGAATTATTATGGCAATCGATGCCAATATCAAAATCAACGTGTCAGTCTTACGTTAGCATTGGCAACTGTTAGGCAGCCAATTATTTATGCTATTGTTGTTATGTTGATAGAAGATGACAACGATCGACAAGAAATTCATTCGTCTCATCAATTCACTTATGTACCACTAGAACATTGTGGCCAGCCTGTGAGTCTCTATCTGTTATATTCGAAGCGTGGAAAGAATAATTCAAAAAACTACAGTATTCGTATCGATGCATTCAATAAAGATTCATTGACGTATCTAATGAGTTGGCATTTAACGATTCCATTCGTCTTTTTACCAGTCAATCGGATAAGTGCTTTTTTAACTCTTCCGATTTTTAGAACATTCGATCCTAAACACTGTACTCTTCAATGTTATAAAGGTACTTGTATGAAATATCATAATGAAGAACGATTCTTCTGTCAATGTTATTCAGGTTGGTCCGGTGCACAATGTCACATTCCAATCGATTGTAGTATGTGTGCATCAAACTCGATTTGTATCGGTTCGATTCGAAATCGATCAATCTGCGTCTGTCCTTACGGAAAATTCGGTTCCTCTTGTCGTCTTCAACTAGTATGTCCAATAGGATTCTGCAAAAATAATGGTCGTTGTATAGTAACCGATAAGAGAATGATTAATGAAAGTTATATGTGCTTTTGTTCTGAACAATTTTTCGGGACAAGATGCGAAAATGTTAAACATAGAATAGATATTTCCCTTGTAAATATCGAAACTCCATTATATTTACTTGCCTATATTTACACTGAGATTAGTTTCGAACGATCATTACTAACATTTGTTATACTCCGAAAAATGACTATGTTTCAAAGTAATATCACCTTGTACTCTCAAGCTCAGTTCCGAATGGTTATTGTTAAGATTGATAATCGTTATTATTTGGCTGTACTTCGAAAATTTGTATCATCCAACATAGTAACCTCCATCGGTCCCATCCAACGATGTGTTGAAATTCATGAACTTTTGCCTACTACATTACTCTCATTGACACGAATTCAACGATTGAAAAGCTATCATATTCCATGCCAGGATCATGTTAATCTACAATGTTTTGTCGATGAATTCTACATGTGTTTGTGTACGGAAGAACGTCATAGTAACTGTTTTCCATTAGAACATCAACGAACTTTTGCCTGTGAAGATAATGTTTATTGTGAGAATGGTGGAACATGTTTACAAGATCGACGTATATGTTATCTTAATATTCTATGTGTATGTGTTGATTGTTTCTTTGGTAATCGATGTCAATTTTATGCTAAAGGCATTGGACTGACATTAGATGATTTATTGCGTTATGAAATTCGACCTAATAGTACATTAAATGATCAATCATTGGTAGTTAAATTAAGTGCAGTTTCTGTTATGATTCTATTTCTAATTGGTTCATTGAATAGTTTTTTTGGTTATTTAGTTTTTCATAATCGTAATTGTCGTAAAGTTGCCTCAGGAATTTATCTTCGATTATCATCAATTATTTCTACACTCGTTGTTAGTATGTTAATCATTAGATTTTGGTTTGTAACATATACATATATGAATCCATCGATTAATCGAAAAATCCTTCAAATAGGGTGTTTATTATTTGAACCAATGCTTCGTTTTTTTCTACATATGAGTAATTGGCTTAATACTTGTGTAGGTATTGATAGAGCAATGGCTGTTTTTCAAGGAACTAATTTTAATAAGAAAAAAAGTCGATGTATTGCACGATGGATTAGCTGTCTTTTACCATTTCTTATTTTGAGTTCAATGATTTATGAATTTATTAATCGTGATTTGTTTGATGATTATGAAGAACGACGTGTTTGGTGTGTAGTTCGTTATTCTAAATCAATTGAACTATATACGAATATTGTTCAATATTTTCATTTTATTGCTCCGTTTTTAGCGAATTTAATTTCAGCTATTTTTATTATTATATATATAACTCGTCTAAAAACGACTGTTCAATCTCAATTTAGTTCTCAACAACAATTACTCAATCAAATCAACCAGCACAAACAACTTGTTATCAGTCCTATTATCTTAGCTATTCTGTTATTTCCTCGTTTTCTCGTTTCATTATTATCAACATGTATTAAATCATCTCAAAATCCTTGGTTGTATCTTTTCGGTTATTTTGTTTCATTCATTCCGTCATCTTTTATCTTCGTGATATTTGTTTTACCATCGACTTTCTATAGGAAAGAATTCATAAAAACAATTACTACTTGGCGGCAACGATTTATCAGGGCTATTAGAGCTCAGAATCCATGAAAGATGCTCCCGAGACATTTGCGGTGTGTTATGGTTAATACACTCATACCACAACTACACCTTAGATTTGATTTATTATTAAATAAATATTCGTATTCTTGTATAATATATAAAAAACGCAAAACGTCTTATGCTCAGATAAGAACGAGCGCAAAGAGAAGAGTCTCATTGTCAACATATTCATAACTAGATTTTAAAAGGTAGTGATGCGCAGAATAATAAAAGATTGTTTTGTAGCTTATTTGTTATTAGATTTTTTATGAATTTATTCATTCCTTTGACTGTGTTCTTTTATATGACATGCGTTTTTTTTATTTATTTCATTGACTTTTTATTTCTTTAACATGACAAGTTCTTGAGTCAATACAAAATGCAAAGAAAGGAAGAAAACCACGTGGTGAAAATGTAATTGTCAATTTCATGACTTACTGTTATATATGATGCATTCTTTTTAGGCGAATAGAATTCAAGTTTTTTTTTTCTTCCTTCTTGTGAATTATTTTTCAACAGTAATCATGTCACTCATTTCTATTTCTTACACAAAAACAACGTAATACAATTTTTGAAAGATGGGAGTCCAATTATCTACTAAGAAGAAACCTAATTCTACGAAAAAATCATTATTAACTACAACAGAATCCATTCCAACATCTCCATCAAATATCGAGATGGAATATCTCGAAACATTTATATTAGTTTGGTTAGATTTAAAAGTTGATAACAGTGAACAAAATCAAACGTTACAAAAACGTTTACGTCAATATACAACCTCTCTTGTTACATTCAATGACTTGGAATTATGTGAACAATGGATAAAAACTCGTTTAAATGATGAAAAAATTCTTTTTATTGTATCCGGTGCATTAGGACGAAAAATTCTTCCTAATATTCATCAAGTAAAATCAATTATTGCTATTTATGTATTTTGTTTACGTCCACAATATCATATAACATGGACTAAGGATTATTCAAAAATACGTGCAGTTATTTCTGAACCAAACACACTTTTACAACATATATCAAACGATCTAATTTATTTTGAAAATATTGAAAATTTAAAAACAATTCAAATCTTTACAGATCATCATCGTACAAGAGTTGTTAATTCTGAAATTGCTCCATTTATATGGTATCAACTTTTTCTTGAAATTCTTCTATCATCATCCTATTTACAATCATCTGCTTCATCGACTGAATTAATTCAAATTCTTCGTCAATATTCTTTAAATGAGAAAGAAAATTTAAATTTAATTGAAGAATTCGAACGAACATATGATAAACAACAATCTATAGTATGGCTGATAAATAATACCATATTAGCACGTTTCCTAAATAAGGTAATATGTGAAGAGGATGTCTCAATGCTATTTTATCTTCGTTTTTTTCTTATTGATATTTATAATCAATTGAGAGATCATCAGTTGGATTCAGCACATGTTTATCGAAAACAATTAATGACACTAGAAAATATTGAAAATATTCGAACGAACTTAAATCAATATTTAAGTTTCAATGGGTTTCTCATCACTTCAACGAAAAAACCTGCGGAAATTTCAACGAGTGATATTGATGATAATCAATTTCAAAATGTTCTTATAGAAATTGATGCAAAGAATCGTGATGGATCAATGCCATTTGCATCCATTCAACAAATGACTAATTTGAATAATGATTCAGATATTGTTTTTATGTGTGGTGCTATATTTAAAATAACTTCATTAACAAATGAATATGATTCAACTTGGATTCTTCAATAATCATTGGCTAGTGATACAGATTTGAATATATTAACTGATAGAAAACAAAAATTCCGACAAAGTAAAGATTTATTCATGATTGTGGATTTATTAGATCAATGTAAACAAGAAGATAAAGCCAATGTCTATTGTCAACATCTTCTACAACAATTATCTCCTGATCATGTTTTAATACCTCATCTAAAAGAAAGATTACATATGGATGCAAAACTTCTACCAGGTATTGTACTATAAGGAATATTCATTGTTTTTTTGTAATAACATAAGATATCTAGACGAAATATTTTCTTTAGCTTCTAGAGTAATTTAACATCGAGTAAGATTTGGTAATAGTAACAAGACAAAAAGATTCTTAAACATAGCGCAACTTTTTCGAAATGAAATAATCTGATCTCTTTCTTCGTTGCCATAATAAAAAAGCATCGAATTAAATGATCACTATTCGAATTTAGTGTTGAACAATTATTGTATCTGCTTAGTTACTACTGCACGGAAGGTTAAGTTCGGTGTCCCTGAAAATCCTAATCCTAGAATCGAATTTTCGAAGTTTTTTGCAACTGTAAAAAGCAACCAAACTACTAGATAAGAAGGTGAGGGCGTCCACGTTTCACCCTTCAAAGCTTCAACACTCTACATCAGATCGTATTTCACAAAAATAACGATCTATCCACATACATCTAAGTATGTCTTTTTAGAATCTCTACGCACTGTTCAATTTGTTCTTATTGGTTTAACGATGCATTTTAATCAATTAGCATCTGCTATGTTGACTACTCTGCAATCATTAACCAATGATTCTATATTAATATATAATAACAGTTCAAAAGTCGATTTCGAGACAATGCCTGATACGGCAATTCTAGTTTTTACAACTAATCAAATTATGTCTACTATGACGAATATATCTGAACAGCACATAAAGTTTTTTATCTTAGAAGAGGATAATAATAGAGTTGATCAAAGGGAACGATTTGATAATTGCGAAGATCTTATGTTTCAATTGGCTGATGAATTATATCGTTATTATAAATTGGAAGCTATTGGTGATACAAAATTAGGTAACATTTCTTTAGCAAAAGAAAAAGAAGAAAAAGCCAGTCGAATTCATAAAGAATTAAAAGAAATTCATCAAAGATTTTCTCGCATTGATACCACTGATATTTGTACAACAACAAAACTTATTTGGTTACAATCAACATATAATACTAATGATGATATGATTAAAATTCAAAATCTATTTGAAAATATTCTTCCATCATTTTTAATATTTACCAACAAAGAAGAATGTCATTATCATATATGTACAACTGAAATGAATCATATTGTATTTCTTATTATGGATACTATTTACAAAGATTCATCTGCAATTGGTTTTCAACAATTTGGTAACGTTAAAAATATTTATTTTTATGATCAATCACCATCTGCAAAAACTTATACTAATGCTTGTTTTCAATTAACACATGACTTAATTTCATATTATAACAAATTGGGAAATGAATGTAACGCTAAAAAGAATGCAGAAAAAGCTAAAGATATGTTTGTGAGAGCACAAAAATTATGTGAACTTCTCATCGAACTTTAAAATAAATCAGAATCAATCTTTTTTTTTTGAACTTTTTTGTTTTTCTATTTTTTTTTCTAGATGCAAACCATAAATGATATTCAGTTTAATAACAATCTCTATTCACAAGTTAATCAATGGGCACTTATACTTTATCAAATGAATGGACCGTCGATCGCGATACCCTTACCTTATGCACATCTAATGACATTTATACAGGTTTTTGATGATATAGCTCGTTGTCAACATCACATCGACACTAATAAAGAAAAACTGTTTACACTATTTGCATACAGTGAAAATATCGAAACATGGTTGTTGAATAATAAAATACCAGATCACTTAGATGAAATTATTATCTTTTGTTTACCTTCTGATAATCAACAATATTTAAAATCATGGGCAAGACGTTACACAGATAAAATTAAGGATATAAATTCATACGATGAACTTGAACGCGATTTATTATTATTTGGAATGAAATATATTAAAAAATTATTTTCATATTTTCAAGATGATGAAGGAATATTGAATTTATTGAAAGCAGATTACAAGAAGTTGGGACTAGCTTTGATTGATAGTTTCGCGAAAGAAATCAACAAGCAAGATACGTACATTAATACAAGTGTAGAAACTACTTAATCGTTGTTTGTTTTTTATATGAAATTTTAAATCCAATAACACATAAATAAAAAATAAATGTAGATTTTTAGGTTAAGGGTGTGGGTATCTGATATATAAAAGATGATCATGGTAATCACACCCGCGTTACTAAAGCAAAGCTATTCATATCTACTCTCTTACAATACAATATCACTTTCATTTTTGCGTGAAGCTGTTTTGTTCTTTGACTAAGAGCATTGGTGGTGATAAGACGAAAAAGAACACCAACATTCAAGTACGTGTAGATAAAAATGTAAGAATAGAGAATCAAGTAAAAAGATATAATAAAGCATTTTTTTTCATCGTTTCTTCTGTGTAACACATCTTGATCGTTTTATTTCTACCATTTGAGATGACATTACAGCCACCAAAACAGCAGATCATGATTGAAAATCTCTTTGAAGACTTTAATATCGAAAAAAATCTTCTTCATTCGACACCTTATGAATTAATAATTATCGATCCTTCAGGGAGTGACATTCTCGCACGTCTTTCTTCAACAACTGTAGCCATCATCGGTGTTAACATACCAAACACAGCACAACTCCTGTCTCAGTTACCTGGTTCAATTAAAGTCATCGTTAAATATGGTGTTGGTTATGAAAAGGTTGATGTAGATGTATGCCGACGTCGAGGTATTGAAGTTTGCTATACACCTGATTATGGTACAAATACTGTAGCTGATCATACAGTTGCTCTTCTCTTCGCAGCTCATCGTCGTCTATTAACATTTCATAAGTCAATTGTTGAAAATCATCAATGGAATTTTAAAGTGGGTGGTAAATTGCACGAGCTGAATGAAATGACACTTGGTATTATTGGTTGTGGGCGAATAGGAACATGTTTTGCAAATAAGATTCGTCCTTTTGTCAAGCAAATATTGACACATAATTCGAAAAATTCGACAACAAACACATTAAACGAGATTTTTGAAGAGTGTGATATTATTTCATTACATATTCCAATGTCACCTAGCAATCATCATATTATCTCCTCCGATTCTATTGCTCAGATGAAACGTCGTCCAATTTTAATTAATGTTAGTCGAGGCGAACTGATCGACACGAAAGCACTTGTTCAAGCATTGAAAAGTGGACAAATATCCTATGCTGCTCTCGATGTTATCAAAGATGAACCTAATATTGACGAAGAATTGATGAAACTTGATAATGTACTTATCACACCTCATGCAGCTTGGTATACCGAAGAATCAAAACGAGATTTGCGAATAAAGGCTATGGAAGAGGTTCTACGAGTATTGCGAGGTGAAAGACCGATATATCCCATTCCCACATAAGCTATTCTATGAAATTCTTTTTGTGTTAGACAATGAACTTGAGGAATAAGTGTGGATGTTCATGATGTGAACGCCCACATCCACACTCACCCTCAAGATGATAATAAAGAATATTTTATAGTAACGTAAACATGTTTAATGATTAATAGAGAAATTAATCTTTCGCTTTGTATCAGTCGACTATAAAAAAATTGATATATTCGTCCGCAATTCAGTCCGATATGTAATGAACAAATAGCAAAATAGTTTTTCTCTCGATGCCAGCGGAGGAAATACATTCGTCTGATTGATACTTATAAATATACGGCATATAACTGAATAGCGAAAGAAGAAAAGTCAGTCGATAGTAACTATGAATGGTAGAACAGTTCACTTACTTGATTTACCTGACGAAATATTACTTATTATCTTGAAAAAACTTGGTTCCGTTGATGTTCTTTATTCATTATTGAATATTAATAAACGACTTGATCAAATGGCAAGAAGTGTTAACAATACTAAATTCTTAAACTTTTCAATGAATAATGTTCAACATAATCGATTTTGTTGTGAAATATTACCTCAAATACATCATAACATTGTAGAACTTACTCTTGAACTATTTTCTATGGAATGTATTCTTCTTGCTTGCAAATATCCTAATCTTACTGTTATTGTTTTAACCAATTTTTCCCCAGATATTCTTTTAGAGTATTTAACAGGTAAATAAAACTTGTTTATTCATAATTGTGAATATCTATTTAATCATATGATTAGATGAATCGCCTATTTCTCATTTGTTTCAACAACAGATAAGACATTTAACTATCACAAGCGAGAAAGAAATATGTACTAGTCGATCATTTACAGATGTATGTATACGTATACTTGCTATGTGTAGAAATTTGTCATATTTAAATATGAATCAATGGTTAATAACCAATCAAGCATACCTTTCAATCCGTTATCGACCTCCAAATGTTTGTTTTTCTCCAAATTTACACACTTTGTCTATTAATGTGATTGACTTTGATGATTGTCTTCGTCTACTTGATGGTCGTCTAGAACAATTACGTTCTTTCACAGTACGTATTTATTCCATTAAAAGATCAATGGTGGACAATAATAATCAAGTAAGAGAATTATTTTGTTCGAATATAATTAATCTATTCCTTTTTTGTTTAATAGAAAATTTTATTTAATCTCAAAGAATTCTCATTAACTAGCTATTTACGCACATACGCTTATGATTGTCGAATATTATCACTTCTTCGTCGAATGTCGAATTTAGAAACTCTCGCTCTATCTCTTGATATAGAACGATTAACTGTTATTGATGGTTTACATCTTAATAAAGAACTTCTTATTCATATGACATATTTAAATAAGTTTAGATTCCATATTTGTACTGTTTTAAGAACTTCTGAAACGAATTATTTCTTAACAACGAATGATATTAAAAGTACATTTCTTAATTGGAAATATTCTTCAGTTAGTTGTTGTATCGATCATTTTTCAAGCGGATATAGTCATTATCATATTTATTCAACACCATTTCAAATGACTCATTTTATGTATCTTTCGAATAATTTTCGTGGTCATTATTTATTATATGTTACCAATTTAAAGTTATATGATACACGTCCATTTGAACATGATTTTTTCGAATGGATACCTCAAGCATGTCCATTACTCAAACATTTAATAGTCAACAATTCAACACCACAGAAAAATAAACGTCAAGTTACAATAATTGATGATAAACAAATTTTCTCAACAATTTCATATTTACATTTATTTAAACTTAGTCTTCTTCATGCACATGTTGATTATGTTGATCAATTTCTATGTTATACAAACATGTATGTACCAACTCTTCACACACTTTCAATACAATATGATAATTTAGTTACTATCTCAGATAATTTTACAAATGATCCAAAACAAATTAATTGTAGTCAAATCAAACAAATCGTATTTGGTCAATTGATTGTCTTACCAAAAGACTTTTATGATTATTTTCTTTGTTTAGAAAAATAATTTTTTTCAAAAAATAGATTAATCATCTTGAGGGTGTGGGTATTCAATATATAGCTGTGGTATTAGTCGTAAAAGGGAAAAATAAATTCAAGTGGACTTAAAGTATGACACTACTATATAATTGATATTAACTAATCAATGAACGTATTAGCATACATTAAGAAACATAAAAGTGTTTTATATGAAAACTGAATGTTTACAAAAATAATTTTAATTAGCATCAATGTCAATTAAAATTTTAATTTCCGAAGGATTGGATAATAAAGCTTCAAATCCATCTTTGACAATATCATCTAACTTGATTTTCTTTGTAATGATTCGTTCAACATCCATTTGTTTACTTTCAATAAGTCTAATTACTTCTGGAAATATATGTCGATAACCAAGAGTTCCTTGAATAGTTATCTGGCGAAAGACCAGCTCTGTTGCATTCAATGTTACTGGTTTTTCAAATACTGCAACTAATACAGCTTTTCCACCTTTTCTCAAAGACGCAATACCTGTTGTAAATGTTGATTGTACACCGGCTGCATCAAAATAAACATTTACACCAAGACCATCGGTATAACTTTTAATTTTTTGGGCAATATTTTCCTCCTTCCCATCGATCACTAATGTAGCACCTAATTCACGTGCTTTCTCAAGACGTTTTTCAGCAATATCGACAACAATAGTGCGAGCAGCACCAACAGCCTTTGCAGCTTGAAGACATAATAGACCAATTGGACCAGCACCAAAGATGACACATGTTTCTCCTAGAATTGAAATACATGTACATACAGTTCGATCTAGTTTCGCAGGAACTAGAAATAATTCGATTCTTTTTGATGACTAAAACGAACTATCATAAATTCCAGTTAAACGTTTCTATAGAGAATAGACATGTGTTGAACGCAAACAGGATTTCAGATATTAGTGTAACCGTTAGTATCAAGGAACAACTCGAAAAATAGGTTGAGTTTCTATTTTCTATTTAATCATCAAGCATATTATCCATGTCTATAGGAAGAGATAAACATAAATCGAATGATGCTTCATTCGAAAGAAAGCTACAAGTTAAAGAACCTTTCTAACGCTCTTTTATTGTAGGTACGCCAATATGAGCAGTCTTTTTTTCTAAACTAAATAATAAAACGGATGAACGAACTATCTTCCTGTCTGTCTTACTCAATTGACCGACAAGTTTAAAAGGATTCAGTGTAAATTGTATAGTGATAGATACCTAGTTGTAAGCCACTGTTTTTAACAGCATACACAGCCACAGCAGCAGGTTCCACCAATGCACCTTGTTCAAAGGTCATACTATCCGGTATTTTATGTACCATATAGTCTTCGGCAACTACATATTTTGCAAATCCACCATTTCCAGTTACACCAAGTCCACCTCCTGGCTCTGATAGATTAAATTCGCCTCGTTTTGTAAAAAAACTATTTGGATTTCTAAACATTGGCTCTACTACAACACGATCACCGATCTTGATATTATCAGGATTAAGATCATCTCCTACTTGAACAACCACACCTGAAAATTCATGTCCCATTGTGGTGCAACCACAATGTCCCGTTAGTGGATAAGGTTTGTTTATCGGAATTACTATTGGACCAGAACAATATTCATGTAAATCTGACCCACAAATTCCACAATATTTTACTTCAATTTTAATTTGTTTTTTGTTAATAGAAGGGATAGGTGTTTCTTCTACACGTAGATCTTTTGCACCATAATAACGTGCAGCTTTCATTATTTCTGTATTCATACGAACAGCTTTACAATTTCTGTCTTTCTTGAAGGACACCACAACGAATTGTAATATATATCGTAAGAGAAAAATATTCTTTTCTAAAACAAAACCTTCACGTATTTATTTATATGATAAGAAGAAAAAAGAAAGATTTGAGTATCAGTCTTTCGAACTAAAACACAGATTGGTGTGAATTGTAGAAGAATAAAATAGACGCAAAAAAAAAATACGAAAAGTCATGTCTTATTCACAGTTGCTAATTTTTCTTTTCATCACAGATAGAACAAGAAAAAAGATTAGAATCGCAAATGCTATTCTTTATCTCGTATAACCGTGCACAGAATCTCGTACCATATCAACTGATTTATTTTCCGTAGTACACAATATGAGGGGTTAAGTATTTGGTCGAATCATTTTATTGGCCAGTGTACCTCACATATTTGTAGATCTCCTACGCACTCCTCTCAAGGAAACAAAAACAAAAATGTAGGGAATAGATCGATACCATAAAGACAACTATATCTAGTAATAAAGACTTTTGTAGACATACTATCGATTATTATTCTTTTTTCTCAAATATTCCTATCCTTTTCAGTCAAAAATGGACTTCTCCTTTTTACTCGAATAAAAGTGAAAACAAAAATAGAATAACAATAAATAATCCATGTTATACATATATGTGTCTTCCAATCTTACGAAAGATAAGAGACACAATACAGAAGAAATAACGAAAAGGGAAGATAGTCATAATAGATGGAGACACTTTCTGATAACTACGATATATGTTGATCATAACGTTTTAATGAAAAAAGTTGCCTATCTGGGATATAAGTATTATATTCATCTTTCGTGGTCACCGACACTCTCTAATATCTTTTGAAATTTATAAAACATTTCTGGTGCATCTTGAGCATATAGATCTTACTCATCCTTCTCGATATGTGTTTTCAAGAAGTAGACTTCTGTCTATATCAAAGATTTCCACCTAAATGTACATATAAGAAGCATCCGATTTAAAAATATTTAATTACAAATGTGCTTCATATCTGAATAAGAGCACCATAATCTTTCAAAATTAAGCAGATAAGATGCTTTTGATTTTAATTACCATACAACTTAATTAACAAAATAATAGATTAATTAACTTTGCAAACGTTCTTAGTTTGACTGAACTTCATTACCTCACATTCAGCGACTTCACTAAATTTCAATATAATCGATAAAGGTACCAAACATTGGTTACGAGACAATGATTGATACTATATTCTATATAAAACTAGTGTCAGTTCTAGAAAAAGAGTATAATGTCATTTATTTCATTTTTGAATGAGAATAAATAGCTTACTAAAAAACCTATTTTGGACTTTACATCTCGGCTAGAAACATTCAAACTAAATTTTAGTATATCATGAGTTCTATTATTTTTTCGTTTTATTCAAAACTTTTCAACAATATCAATTGAATATAATTTATTTTTTATGGATAAAATCAAGTTATAATAATGAAAACAAAAAAATATGAGTAATATAAGCGGTAGAAATAGAAGAATTTGAATATAAATATATAAAGAGTTTATTATTTTAAAGATTAAAAACGTATCCTTGTTTTCCTGCTTATTGTTTATAACACCATGACCAGAACTTATTGCCAAAATCAACTACCCAATGATTTACACCATAACCGGGTGGACATGATCCACGTCCTGGTGAATAACCACCACAAGAAACACCGGTTTGATCAAAATTTGTTTGCATTCCACAAACTGTTCCTGGTAGATCAGCAATTGTTGAATCAACTTTTGAGCACCAAGCTGCTAATCCTGAGCCCCAACTTGTAAACCATAAATACCTTTCATATCCAGCAGGACAACCCAAAAAAGGATTGATTCCGCCACATAAATTGCCAAGAAATCCCGTTACAAGTCCACATACAGTTCCCGGTTTACCTGGTTGTACATTATTACCGTCTGAAGTAGCACAAAATTGTAAAAAACCAGTACCTGTTTTCCCAAATGGCCAATTCTGTCTAATAAAACCACCTGGACATCCTTCTAGTGGATTTTGACCATTACAATTTGTGCCTAAACCTGTTCTTAAACCACATATTGTTCCTTGTAAAACTTCTGATGCAGCTGTTAGTTTGTATGAAGTGAGTATAGTTGATGCAAGAATGAATGTTATTAAAGACATTCTTTTCTCTTTGAAAAATTAATGTGAATATGAAACTATGATGAAAGATTTGCCTAATTATATATAATTTGAGTAGCTATATTTATGAAGTACTTAAAGTAAAAAACCGTAATTTCAATGACGTACTTCCAATATTTTTTATTTATTAATAAAAAAAAAGGAACTGATATAAATAGCTCATTTTAATATTATTTCTTTTTCGATTGAATCGATTTGCGCAGGAATTAAGTTACAAGCAGTGATGATTGATGAGGCGTAATAAGTGATATACTTTCATTTGCATTTTTATTCATAAATCATGACAGAACAGGAAAAGAAAATGAATACTTATTAATTTCCAATAAACGCATTTAATAATAAATGGTAAATAAATGATTACCAAATAAAACATGTTTTTTTCGGTATTAATCTTTTTACAGTTTATTCCCTCGATTGAAGGAAGACTAATGTGAAAAAAGTTGAAATGCATATGTCTATTGGTTTATCGCACGTTACTGATCAAAAGTTCACTAAAGATTTTCGAGGCTGAAGAATACAAATCTATCTTTATATTTTCGAAACTTTTCCATTCGATTCTTTTTTTAGTTAGGAGAAGGATATTTTATGAAAATAATGTTATTTTTTCATAAAGCCAACGTAGAATATAAAAGAATGGTTGACTCCTACAAAGAGCTCGTCAAATAACGTGTTGATATAATACTTAAGTACAAGATCATTTGAAGACGAAAAATGAAAGATTTTATTTTTCAATCATATTATGATTAGGATTCTGATGGATGATTAATTGCTTTTGTTTAGTTTTTAATTGAATAAAGTAATCAAAACATTGATATGATACAATTCTTTGATGTTTTTCTTTCTAAGAAGATCCAATGGTTAATCTTATGGAGTTCGATCTGTCATATCACTTAATCACTGTGATTATTTCACTGATATCATTTTCAACTATTTTAGCCATTACCTTTCTACTTCGATCAAATAATAGAGTATAAAAATTAGTCTACTTATTTTCTAGTAAAATGATAGAAAACAGGAATAAACTGACATTAGAAACTATAATTAAAAACGCAATAATGCATAATCTTCTTTAAAAAAGTATTTTTATAATCATATTATAAGCGTGTATTTAATTATCTACCGCTCTTCTATAGATCACCAACATTCAATTGATCTACTTTATATTCAATTTTGAATTAATGACGCCCACAGCTAATCTATAGAAAATAATGAACACATAAGCTGCTTATAAAGCTTAAATGTGTTCTCTCTCACACCTGGATTTCAATCATAGACGACGTTTGTAAACTTTTTTGAGCTAGATTATATAAATATAAAAGTTCATTTGATTAAATATTATACAATATAATGGATGCATATATATATCGTCTCATGCGATTTATATTTTTATTTATTTGTTTAATTTTATCAATTATTTGTTTTCTTATTGTCTTCTTTTTTCTATTCAAAAGTCGACAAATTAATTATAAAATTCTTCAAAATCATGTTATTCTTGCTCTTCTCTTCTGTAATTTTATTCTTATAACTACAGAATTACCTATTACTTTAGTTTATTCTTATTATGGTCATATTCAACCTGAAAATGACCAATTTTGTTCATTTTGGGTAGGTTATAATTATAGTTTATATGATATTGGATTATTACTAATTACTTTTGGATCTATTGAAAGATATTTTCTTATATTTCATGAGAGATTCATACGTAAATGGCGATTTATTATTCATTATCCTCCAATTGTTTTTTGTTTTATTTACCCATTAATGTTTTACAATTTATTAGTCAATTTTTATCCATGTGAAGCTGAATATGATTACGAATCATATGTTTGTGGAGGTGCTTGTTATCAATTTCAAACAATAATAAGTACTATAGATTATATTACAAATATATTTTCTCCTGTAGTGTGCATGGTTTTAATAAATATAATTCTTTTATTTCGTGTAATATATAGAAAACAAGCAATGAAAATAGCAAATACATGGCGAAAAAATCGTTTAATGTATATTCAACTTGTATCAATTTCAGTTTTATATTTTATTATTTGGATACCATTTTGTATTATATCACTCATTCGTTTATTCTATAATCCATTCTTTCTTCAAGATGTAACAATGTTATTAATCAATTATTGTCTTTATATATGTCCACTTGCTTCACCACTTATTTCACTTGTTGGTTTACCAGTAGTACGACAACATTTAAGAAGATTAAAATTACATATACCATGGGCTGGTCATATTACTGAAAATCGTATTAGACCTACAGGAATAATCGTTTTACGAACAATGACACAGCATCATACTGTATCTCGTCGACATAATGATGAACATCAAGTTTAATATAGACAGTAGTGAATGTGTACAAATAATTTATAGGTTTTTCATTTCAGTATGAAAATATCCATCAATTATTATTTACCTTAAATTTCGTATATGTATCTATTTTAAAGCAAAAGAATATTTTCAAATGCATCAAATACATTCAAAATCTTAGTACAATAAAGACAAACACTATATATGTTTAGAACGTATTTTTTTATTGTCGGTGTATGTGTTGTCTTTAATCGTTCATTTAATTCAAGAATAAGAATATCGATATATGACTTTAAAATATATATTCAATACATATCCTAATTTGTGTTCAATATCCATTCTTCTCATACATCCTCAACACTCGCCTATCCTCCAGATAATTTAACAGTATATTAGTAAGTTAGTAAAATGTGGAAAAACTGAATGTCATAAGAATAAATTATGATAATACTTTTACCAATACATAATGGAAAAGAAATTTTTTTAATTCGACATTCAGGTTTTTATCTAGCCTGCATGGATTTTAGAGTATTGTTATACACTATTCTACTCACACTCTCTTTTTATTACAAATTTTTTATTTGATAAAATATATTGAATCTTTGAGTCGAATAAACAGAAATTCGGATAATTAAGAGAACGAGTAAATTTGCATAATATTCAATTCTATTTTAGATTTTGCAAAGTTTTCTTTTTTAATAAAATAAATCTCTAAATCTTTATTTGAATCTGATAGGATAAATTAACTCTTCTTCAATAGTTTAATTCTTCACTATAATAAAAAGTTTTAACTTTGTCAGTTGAATTCTGATCGAATAGTAGAAAATATCGTTGTTGTCAAGAAAGTATTCAACATTTTACAATTATTTACTCACAATATCATTCTTAGTATAATGTCTTCTTCTTTGTTCTCTTGTCCATTTCAATCACGTCTAACTCATTATTTTATTTTTCTTCCCTACAGTATTTCCTAATTCTAAAATGTAGAAAAGAAATTATTTATATCTTAGTTTGATCATAAATATTCGTCATGTTGCACAATTTCAAAAGATAATAAAATTATGACTTCAGTTGATTTTGTTGAATTCTAATTATTTTCTTTATACATTTATTTCTCATAGATTTGATGTGTTTCGATAATATTCATATTGTTGAAGATTCATTCTGAAGATCAACAACCTCACTTTTCTTATCATTTTTCTAATGTGTAAAATAAGAATAAAATCATTTGTGCAATACATTTCAGATAACAGATAATGTTGATTTTTTTATTCTTGAGGAAGCGTTGTATTTCCTTCGTAAAGGAATGATTTTCGATGTATTCTTTACAAGAATAACATTAGGTTTTGTTTGAAACACATTGTTTTTACATCCTTCCTACAAAAGTTTAATATCATAAACATTTTTTTATATTTACTGTGAATAATCCCTGACATTTCATATCGGCTTTGAAAAAGGAAACGGATTCATTGTTTTTCTTTATTGATACATTTAAATGTTGTATTTGCTGCAAATATTTCAAAAAAAATCTATTCACGTCATTATGCAGGCGAATAGAGTAAAAACTAAACTTTTTGTCCTTCTATTATCCAGTTTTCAGTAAAACGTAGAAGAGTTTTCTACTCTTCAAGTCGATTCTCATAGTTAATGATTGAAGAATGTAACTAAAAAAGAAACAACTTGTTTTTATTCCATTTAACTGAAGATAAATGTCAGTAACAATTAGTAATTTATGAATAATAAAAATGAGAAGATGAGTTTCTCAGTAATTTTCATCATTAGAAATGAAATAAAATTCTTCTTATTTTTATTTGTTTCATAGTTTTGTAATTATATTTAATAGTATCATCAACTATATTTGACATTATTTAAATTATTAAGTATCAAGAAATGAATTCTCAAATGATATCTTTCACTTTATTTTTATGTATTTGTTTCATTTAAAATAAAGATAATAATGAATGAATGATTCTGATACTCACTATAGGGTGTGAGTGTGTGTATTTTATTTCAATCACACCCACACCCACACCCTAAAAGAAAATGATCATTATTTATTATTAACAACAAAATCTATTAACATAAAAAATCATATGCTAGAATACATAATTTTTAAAAGAGAAAACAGCTAAAAATCATAAAAGAGGAAACATGTTTTCATGAACAAGTAGATAGATATGCTTTTCTACTTAATCATGGAACAGAAGGTGCAATTTACCGTTTCTTTATCAACTTAAGAAAAAAAAGAAAACCGAGTTTTTTCATCATTTACTGTAGATAATAGTTAGTCAATAGGAGGTGAAACATAAGCCTAACAAAAAAATAGTATTTTTTTTAATCCTTTACATAAGCTTTTTATCGTTTGTTAAGTAGTGTTACACTAGAAAATATCTCTCCTTCTTCTGCTCTTCGCTACTTGTTTTTTTATCCATGTATATTTTCTATCATTGTAGCGTATTTCTCGTACAATCATTTTTCTATTTGCTGCTATCTAGCATTTGAAAAAGTCTCAACGCAAATGCAAGGCCTATTGTTTTGATAATCTTCGATACGATACATGGTATTGTGTTCAGGTGGCAATGCACTTCTCGATGCAGTTTTGACTACTTCATTTGACTATAATATAGAGGAGAACCATCAGTATTTTTTTTTCAACATAGAAATACGATTTTCGTAAAATATGCTGAGAGTCAAAGGATTCTAAGCATTTTGTCCTTTATATTTTAGTTAGTCTACTGTTTACTGATTTAATAGATGTTAGTTTTCTACTGATTGATTAATTAACTATTGGCCAAATCAAAATTATTTCAAGTAATATGATGTTGATATCCCAGTCTATAAATACTTTCTATAGTTTTAAGAGAAGTATTGAATGGAAATCGGTAGCTAGCATTATTTAATATTTAGCTAATTTCTGATTTCTTGGTATTTAGTTTATATCCCGATAGGTGCTATAAAAGACTGAAACAAAAGCTATCTGATTTTTCTAGAAAATTACCTCTAACTAAAATGAACAACAAACAAACGTTGTACTTAACTATTATGAAAGCAGTAAATTTAATTTGTATATGAAACTATACCAACACACACATAATAGATATATAACTGTTTTAGATTGCTAATTGAATAACTTCATCATATCATCCGTTACCTATCACATCTTCGATAATCAGTTTAGAAGATGCGTCTTTTTCAATTTATATCAGAAATCAATCTATTTGAGACAGATGCGACCGATAACATTAGTATTCGAATTCAACGTTTATGTACTTGGTTTTTTATTTCGACTTTTGCCACAAGTTTACTGATCGTGACTATTTATGCATCATTATATGCTGAAGAGGTACACATTACAATCCAAAATCCAACTATTGATTTCTATGCGGAATTAGCATCTAAACATTCAATAGAATGTGACTGTTCAGAAACATCCGTTCCTCATAAAGAATTCATTAGTCTTCAACCGATTTATCATCAAGTTTGTTCGAGTGATTTTGTTACGCAACGTTGGATTGATTATCTATTCCATTCAACTGAACATTCTTTCTATTTTTATGCTGATTTTCGTTCAACCGCTGTGCAACAATTTCAGCTACTGGCTATACTTTGTCAATTAAGCATTCAAGAAACTAAAGATGGTCTTGATTTGTTTTTTCATACGGAAATTATTAGTGACAAACTAATGAGTAAAGATTTCCTTGTAGCAGAAACTGAAGCTCGTATTGGCACATTCAAAACAAATGCACCTGATGCATTGCATTATAAACTAATGTTCATTCGTGAGATGATTGCAGGCAATGCTCTCTTATCGTCAACCCCAAATATTTTCCAATTTATGTTTCAATATCATGATTACGGATACGGACCTGTTTGGAAGATTAATCATGAAAATGTTTTTCACCAAACTGACGGTAATTTTTGTACTTGCAAGGAATTTTTTACGTGTTATTCACGCGCAGGATTCTTTGGTGGTAGTCTTTTTAATAGTGATAATTCGTTTGCTTATTTATATATTATCGATGGATGGTATACTGGATGTCGACCAATTGATTCACTTCTTTCATCAACATTAAAAACTTTTTATAATCAAACAATGATTAATTCATTGTTACGATATTTTAATAATATATCATCAAATTTTACATGCTTAGATGCAAACAAAGAAAGTATATTTGATGTGAATACTAATTTGTCAACTATTGTTAAATCAGGTTTTATTGAAAAATGGATTGACAATATAAATTATACATTATATTTTAATCATTGTGCACCAAAATTGTGTTTCTATACAATCAACAAACGTTTCAACATTAATTATATTATAACTGCAATTATTAGTGTATACGGTGCTCTTTCTACTATTCTAAGTCTTATAATTCCAAGTATTGTAAGATTAATAATTCAACATAATGCAGAAACATCTCGTAGAGATTATTCTTTGAGAAGATTGAAACAATTAATTATTACTTGGCTTCGACAACTTATTCCTGCTCTTATTGAAATGAATCTTTTCCGTTCATCAACACGTGTTGAACTTTCGGATATTTATCAGCAACGATGGTCAACTCGATTTTACATTACTTTCTTGTCAATTTTTTTAATCATTATAACAATATACACAGCAGCAATAAAACAAACAATTCCCAAAGAGTTAATTGAACCTACGGTCGATGAAGTCTTACATCTTCAACAACAAACTAGTTTATTATCTCTTCAATGTCCATGTTCTAAACTTTCTTCATTGTATAATTATTCAATTAAATTAATTCCTACCTATCACGAAATATGTGACAGCAACTTCGTATCGGATTTATGGTTTTATCTAATGCCACCTTCAGAAGTATATCCTGCCTACAATTTTCGGCAAAATGGACATCTTTTCAAACTCATTCAATCATTTTGTAAATTAGCCAACATAACAATAAAAAATGCTCTTAATATATTCTATGCAAAACAATTAGTTACTCCAAATCTAATCACCGAAGATCTCTTCATATCTCAAATGAATTCTGAAGGCGACTATTTTCAACGTGTTACACCTAATCGTTTTTCTTATTTATTGGAATTCACACGTCAAACAATGAAAGTTAACCAATTTATTTATGGCGTCAATACAAATTATGCTATGTCGATGGGAAATGATACAGGACATGTGTTAGTTTACATGGATCCTCCTAAAGACTGGGATGATGGTAACGATATTACATGTTCCCTTATTTTTGATCCCGTTTGTGAATTACAAACCAATTTAGATATCAAGGATACGCACGGAAATACCATATATGTTTATATACCTGGCTTTTACACATCTGTATTCTATGTTAATTCCTTACTATTAACACAACTCCAATGTTTGTATAATCAATCATGCGTTAATATGATTGGTGCTGTAATTTATGATCAATTTGATTCACATAAGTTTATAGCATTATCTCAAACAAGTCGCTTTCCAAATAATGCCACCATTGATTTTCTTTCAAAGCATTTGTTTGTCGAATCTTGGTCGCAAAACGTAAGTTCATATATAGAATATTTTAAACAATGTCAACCTCATTTATGTTCGTACACAATCAATCAACGACGTACTTTTGTTTTACTCATGACAACTGTTATTGGTCTGACCTCTAGTGTATCTATGATTCTTCAGTTTATATCACCATTTATTATATCTTTTATTCTTAAATGTTGTCGACAAACACAACAAACAAGCTCATCTGAAGATACTCAACGAGGTAGTAATGTTTTTTTGGAAAAAATCTTTTGATTTGGAAAGCATGAATACATAGATGAACTGTGATTATATCTACAGATTCGATTGTAAAAAATCCACAAAATATTGAACATTAATAAGGGATAAAAACGAACTTTTTTGCTACCTATCTTTTCTGCGGCGATCGGAAAGTATTAACATACCGACAACTAATGAATTTTTTTTCGAGTTTTCAGTGTTTATATCTACGAATATTAATGTGAGGATGTGGGTATGACGATATGCAATCGATGACAGTTCTAATCTACAGCTTTCACTGTATATCAGAACTTTCAAAGAACTCTTGTTGAAAATTTATTTTATGATGTCAATAATAAGTATATACTTGGTTGTAGGTAGTTTTCCTATTCGAACATATATCGATAATATGTGGACAAAATCTCATCAATACATTATAACACTGAATATATTCGAGAATGTTGATAAGCCTAATCCATCTGATGAAGAATTAAATACGCAAAGAAAATGGACACGTGCATACATCGTCGTATTAATCATAATAATTGCTAGTGTCATTTATATAACTATGCTGTCTTATCAAACAGACACAACCTCTGTGGACAAACCAACATTAGATGTATATGCAAAACTACCAAAGTCAGCTGATTGTTTTTGCACCAACCTGTCTATTCCTTATCACACTTTCATTAATTTCAATCCACAATTTCATGAAGTATGCAAAAGTCATTTTATTGAACCAAATGATGAATGGATGTCATTACTTTATGATTCGTATCAAGATCAACGACATGATAAACGAAACCTTCGTACATTTCAAGGTATGGCAATATTTCATTTTCAGGCAATACAAGCAATGTGTAGAATGGCTAGAATGGCTGTCAATAATGAACTTACTCTCTTTCTGAACTCGACTTTAACCACTGTTGAAATACTTGAACCCGATCTATTTGAAAAGAAAATAAATACTACTATCAACAATTTTTGCTTCAACACGATGCACTCAAATTTTCTTTATCCATTACAATTGATTCGGAATATGTATTCTGGAAATGGTTTAATTTCAGCACTTACAACAAACTGGCATCCAGTAGTTGCATATGAGGCAACCAGTGGATGGATCTTAATGCAAGCTCAAAAATATAATCTGTCATCATGTAATTGTGCGACAATGCCAGGTTGTGTAGAACCGATGTCTCTTGAATTGAACTCAGGATCCAACTGGACAGTGCCAGGAATGATGATAGGTTGTTTACCTCTTGAATCAATGCTTGAATCAACATTAGAATGTATATATGACCAAGATTGTCTCAATATAATAACTCAAACGTTATTGGGTGAGTCGATAAAACCGCTTTTCTCTACTCGAACTCGCTTTAAACCAATCAATACGACAAAACTTACAACAATTGCTAGTGAACTATTCATCGAAGATTGGGGTGCTGAATTTATTTATGAAAAGTATTTTGCTAGTTGCCAACCTAAAACTTGCTCGTATGTGTCTTCAGAACGATTCCAAATTATGGATTC